TTGATCAAAGAGGTCAGATGTAGAGTATATATACCACTTTTTAGGGATTTGCCGGTGAGTTTTTTTGACTTGTTAGCTCTAATTTTGTTGTGACGATGGTAACTCGCTCTGATGATGTCCGTCATATGACGCACGTAAGCTTAGCACCTTTTCACCGGAATCGAAGGTGATTACCTTGGAAACATCGTCAGCATGACTCTTCCAGTAAAGCCAATCGATAGCTGGTCAAGAGGAATCCGCCGTCGTCTTCTGGAGGAAGCGACTTACGAATCTCTTCACCCAACACTTTCACTCGAAATGGAAGTAAGCTCAACAATTATGAAAAAAGAGATTTCTCGAAACCCTACTTTTCTATACATTTGGATTTCTAGTCAATTTGGCCATAATGTCGAATTTCCGTGGTGGTTGTGATTATGTGACTGCAAGGACCCGAAATTTGTAGTTGTTTCCTCAAGCAGACCACACTCACTGAAAACATCTTCGCTTGATTTTCCAAATTTCCCCATTCACTTCCTCCTCGCGATCCCTGTTCCTTCTTTTTTCCTTACGGTCACCTGAATATTCCATTTTCTGAATATTGGCTGTAGTTTTTGAGTCAGCTCACAAGAAGAGAGGCATATCCAATTTTGGGAATCTTTCATAAATCCTTACCTTTCTTTTATAATCCGCGTTCTGCCACCGGCTCTTGTTGGCCAGTATGTTTCTTTGTATTACTTCTCTTTGCTATCCGTTGCTGAGGCATATCTGAGTCAACTTTTCTAATTCTTAATCCCAGAATTCCACGTCCGCTACTCATAGACTTCTGATGATATGCTTCCAGTATTCCTATCTTCACTCCGTAGTTGCTGTGACACTCAAAATTGAGTATTAATTCTGCATGTGACTTTTTTCGTAACAAAGTTCTTTTAAGTGTTCCATTGACTCGAGTAACTTCAAAATCTAAGAAAGGTAAATGCCCCTCTTCCTCTACTTCCACTACGAACTTGATTCTTTCAACAATCTGGCCTACAGAAGTTGTTTGACCTTGTTTTCGCAAATGGTCATATTGGAAGGAATACCAAGGGGTTCACACCTAGTCCGGAGTCCATTGTATGCATGAAAATTTTCAGAATCTGACCGTGGACGTCGTAAATTCCCAGTCGTTTTACCGGTATCGTCAGTTGGTATTACCATTATTTGCACCACACTTCAACTCTTCAAGTAGACCAGTGTGGCGCTAAGAATGACAATGCTCACTGACGATGCCAACTACGATGTGGCGAAACGTCTAGGAATTTACCACATCCACGTTCCGACTCTCGAAGCTATCATTCATACTATGGACTTCAGACAAGGTGCGTTGCTCTACGTCTTCCTGACAATATGAACCAAATTGCATATACAAGATCAAACAACTTTTATACTACAAAGGGAGACTGTGATAACACAACAAGCCACACTATCTTGGTCTTCATACCTTCGATTAACCTGGTTCATAGTCTTCAGGAAATCCTCTATTTTTTCTCTTCCCTTAGGCGAAAGTGCAGAGAAGTCATTTAGATACCACATGGTCACTCTTGGTTTCAGCAATAAAATCTTGAAATTATTCTCTAACATGTTCATGTATACGTTTGCCAGAAGTGGTGAGAGAGGCGATCCCATAGAAAGTCTGTTCATAGATGGTGCCGTTGAATGTGAAGTGGATAGTCCCTATTGTCAAATTGATTAGTAGTGTTAACGACTCTCTTATGATCCAACAAGAAAGCATGTATGATCTCTGACTTAATACCAAAAAGACACAATAATAAATTGCTTAAGTATGGTGATAATAAGACAACGTATTAACCTACGTTGAAGACATCTACTTAGCAGTACGACGATAGTAATAAGATGCTCAATTTATTCTCACTTCCTCCTGATCCCGAAACCACTACGCTCCTGAAGCAGGGACTAAACTTTTTTCTTCAAAATGGCAGAAATATTCGAGAGGAGGCAAAACGGAAAATGGAGGTGGAAATAATCCCAAGAATCTTGGCCCATCATGAACCAACAGACATGAACAGATTTGCGGGGATTCACAGGACCCTAGAATGGAATGAGCAATTAGTCCTTCAAGCGAACAATGACAATGGACAGAAAACATTATACCAAGGAGGTGGTATCCCACAACTGTTTAGCACACAATTGATCAAGGTATCGACTTCATTTGTCTCTTTAGCCAGTCATAGTTTGGTGCTGAGAATGGAAAGACTCATCGCTGATGCCGATTACGATGTCGACGAAACGTCTTGGAATGTACCAAGTCCATAGTCCGACGCCGGAAATTATGATAACTATCATTACGGAGAACTTCGTACGAGGTGAGTCCAACTAAGTCACCTTGACAGCAGGAACTTGTTGCGAAAGCGAGGTCAGACCACTTCTAATATTACTATAATTCTGGGACAAAATCTGCTCAGATTATCGTATACTACTCACAATTTACACAGTAACACATCACGTTTAATGGAAAATAGGATATCGATACCGGTCATGCCACGAATGGTGATTTGCAGAAGCCTGGTTTGCCTTGAAAATGACCTCTACCAATGTCCCTGAGTCAACTGTAGAGGTGATGCTTTTTAACCCCTCCATTGTTGGGTTCTTATCCATCCAGCCCCTTTTAATTTTCTCACTTTATGCAAATTTGGGTAAACTAGTTGGTAATGGCCCAATTCAAGTAAATCCAATTTATTATAAATAAATACATTCCAGCATGTAGCCCTTGCGCACAATTATCGCAGTGTGGAGCAGGCTCGCCAGGCGGTCAGAGATGCTGGCTACGAGATCACCCTCGGAAAACTGCCCGAATCCCTCGGTCCGATGACAGTCATCTTCACGGGCAGCGGCAATGTCTCGAGTGGAGCCCAGTCGATCTTCCGCTGTCTGCCTTACGAGTTCATTAGTCCAGAACACCTTCCAGAGGTGGTGAAAAACGGAAGTTAGTCATTCTCTGCCAGTACTCGGCCACAAGCATTCATCCACTTGCATGTGCATGCGCGTAATTTGTATGCCTTTCATCCGATTCACTCATACCCTCTGTTCACACCACTAGTTGTCAAGGTGTCCGGCCTCAAAGCTTGGCTCTGGGAGGGTACTTGGGGAAAAATATGAACTTTGCAGGAGGTAGAAGTTTTCATTATACCCGAACACCGTCAGGGGAAAAACGCCAATTGTCGCAAATAATTTCATTTCAATGAGTCCCCATGCTTAAAACATTCAATTGGTTTCGAGACATCCAGAACTGTAGCTACCATAGTGTGGGATAAATTGATTGATAGACGCCATGATGGTATTGGATTTCATATCAACCTGTCTCACAAAAGGTTTGAACGGCAGGTTCGACCTCTCTTGAAACGGTCTTATCAACTCCTCAAACGGGACTCGGATCCAGCCAACGCAACCACACCAGGCCTTTCCGACATCTCGTTTCTACTGGGATTGTTGACAAGGCAAGTTTGTTGACTATGCCACTTCTAGATAAGAAGAGAAACTTGGTTTCGATGAATCTCCTGAGATAACATTGATAGGAGGACCTTCATTTCGAATGAAAGTACATGATGAAGAGATTCGTTTGTCGTTCTTACCAGATGAGGA